AAGAATGATGTGATTGGTGGTTTGCTGTGCATGCAGAGCCTGCATGTCACTCACTCAAGTACCCTGACATGAGAGCCGCGCAAGTTTTCCTTTTGTAGCAAGCAGCAAAATAATTGTAACATGACATGTTTGAGTTAATTTGCCTACTTAATATCGCACGTCTTGCGATGTGAATATCGCGCATGCGCATAACGCGATTATCGTCACGACACGATATATCGTACAACCCTACTTGAAGGTGAGTATATTTTCCTTTTTAATCAACATTTGAATAACCTATGCTTATGTTATTGTAAACCATAAGCATTGCAATCTATATAATGACTTATGTTTCAAAACATATATTTAATGCAAACCCTTAAATAAAAAGGTTTTTTTGTATTTGTTGTTCTTCTTTTACTCAAAAGGGAAGGAAGCACAATCCAAATTAATCAGAAAGACAAAAAGACTCTACAGTGAATTACTATAACTGCAATCACCAATGAAATTAGACAAAATGTACCGTATAAAAATACAATCTAGAGTTACAGAAAGCTGTGAATAAATACAACTAACCTCAAAGATAAAGCAAAACGATCTATCTTGGGTCTGGATATAAACATACAGTCAGAGAGGCCCAACCTTCAGGTATTGTGTGTATATCATAATGCATGGAAACAGAAAACAAAAACAGAATCCTAAATCTAGGCACAGTGTTCCTACCAGGCTTTCCTGTCCTTGGGAAATCAGCAAGTGTCCAGATGCCGTGATTGTCATGAACATTTCAGGTTTATCACAATTTGTATCGAACAGCTGTTGAAAAAAAGGAGAATATTAGGGCAAAATGTGTATTCCTAACTCATGATGGATCTTTCTATACATTTGAGAGGTTTTTTGTCAAGAAGAAATAAATGGTAGGCTATAAGAGACAGTTCATCAGCATTGAATTATACATTTCTATCTGCTCCTTGAGGTGTTTTATAAGATCCCGAGTGTCTAGAATAATTACTTTTATTTAATATCAGCCAGATACAATCTTGTAATCCTAGACTCACAAATTGAGTTGAACTGTATATTACATCTTGCAATGTGGTAGAGTCTTGTGGGTGGAGTGTAATGGCGCATTTCCACTGCAGGGCCTCGCAGGGCTTAGTACGGTATAGGTAGGCCTTGGTAGGCCAGGCTCACTTTATGCTGCGTTTCCATTACAGTTTAGGAACTGGGGCAGTAACTATAGTAACGCAGTGTAGGCGGAGCCGTGACGTCATCTTCAATGCGAACCACAAAACCAACATCAGCCGTTAGCTGTTAGCACACAGAGCTCACAGCTCCTCATATCTGTTCAGAAACTAGATAAAAGTTAAACGAGTCCAAACCACAGACTGCCTGTGTCATGGCGAATACAGTCGCTGGTTTATTTATGTCTGTAGGCCGTTGTTGTGAGTGTGGACGGTCGGAGCATATACTGCGTTAGCTTAGCCGATCTCCATTCAGAAAAACACGCATTTTAAAAGGTTTTTCGCCTGCCGTCTGTCTGCAGACTTGTCAAAGCATTAATTCATGGTTTTTACTAACCGGTATCAGTATGTTGTTACTTCTGCATCATTTTGAAACGTGTATTACAATTAAATCACAGTAAAATATGTTCATTTTGTTGTTGTTTGTCCAGTGATTCTCTCACTAGTTTAGCATACTCAGCCCGGTTGTTGGCCCGGAAAGAACCTCGATTTTGGAGAGCTAGAAAAACTGTGAAAAAGTACCCGCTAGCCTGAACTACCCCTAGTGGAAACGCAACCAAAAACGGGCCGGGCACGACACGACACGCTTAGACCTGTAGTGGAAATGCGCCATAAATGTACCTCAACTAATTTGGCACAAATACTTAGGAATGTTTCATATTACTGCATTTCTGTACCAAGAGTCGACATGATGTAGGCAGATATTGTTTTTCGCAGCCATCTATCTCTGTGTTCTCACCACACATATTGCTCCATTTAGAGTCAGATGCAGTCAATGAAACAAACTCCTTAAGCTACAGTTCTTACACTTGTTCAACTTTCAGCAACACAAAAACATCCCCAAATCTCTTTATTCCCAGCTCACGGCTAAAGACTCAAAACAGATGGACGGCAAGTAGAAGATGAACAACAAAGTCTTTAACACAGTAAAGTAGTTGCCAAATTAATGTGTAGGCAACAGTGAATATTATATTTTACTTTGTCATATATGTATTTTGATATATTTAGGAATGTGTAGCTGTATACTTTAGCTGTAGCTGTAATATACAGGGTTCTTACACCTTTTCCAAAGTCAAATTCAAGCACTTTTCAAGCATTTTCAAGCATCTTACAGCTGTTGTAAATTACATATTTATATACACATACTCAAATGATTATTTCACTATCTCACATTAAATCAGATGTTCTTTATGCTATAAACAACCAAATGTGTGTTTCGTGATAGCATTCTACATGAGGATGAAAAATTAAAGAAAAGAAAACTAAGTTTAATATTTAAAAATGAGTGATCTGTACGTAGATTAGGCATCCCATATAACCTGTCTGAGCCAAATAACTTTTCAATACATTATTGATTACTATTTTTGAGGTACTTTTAGGTTGGCAGTGAACATAAGTCAGAGGTAAAAGGTGTACTTTTCCTCCACTACATGTATTTAATCCCTTTAGTTACTTTACAGATGTGGATGAATGATGTGAAAGTGTTAAATCAGACTTTAGTTCCACCTGGAGTAAATCCACAAGCTACCCTGCAGTATACAAAGTCATTCAAACTAGCTGCACCTTCACCAGCTTTGAGAACACTTTCATGATCAATCATTATAAAACATATAATATTATTCTGAAATGGACCAATCTGCACAACGACTACTTTTACTGTCTTTAACTATATTTTGATGAGAATACTTTTCTACTTTCACTTGAGGAACATTTTGAATGCAGGACTTTTACTGTAACAGAGTATTCCTACACTCTGGTACTTCTACTTTTACTAAAGTACACGATCTGAGTACTTATAACTTCACTACAATATCTGAGTACTTATTCCACCTCTGGTAGCGTATTAGTCTGAATTGTAGCCCAAAATCACGCAGAGCTGCATAAAAATAGCCTCACAATGGTAACAAGTGGAAATAATATTTACAAATGTGTACAATGATTTGTAGGTAATTTTGACTACTTAAAGCAAAATGTGTTTACTTGTATAATACTTCAATTGTACATAAAAGACAGTTTGTTTTCATGTTTTCAAATAAACAAAGTATTGGCTTTCAGAATATTAAACTCGTTTCGGCAAATTCAGATGATAAATACAGCTTTGAAGCTTCGGCATAATTACAAGCGGAGAACGGACTAATGTAACATCACAGCAAGCATAACAACAGCCGGTGTTTCTTGTGAGTGTTTCCCCGGTACACACACACACACACACACACACCAGGGTTTCCGCTAGGATTTTTTCTCGCCGGTCAAATGTCCGGGCAGAATTTATTTTACCGGACACATTTGAAAATTACCGGTCATATTTCAATAATAATAATAAGAGTTGTGTAGCAGAGTTTCCGTTAGCAGGTTACCGGACTATGAGCAGATATGCTTCAGTTTAAAACTCAGTTCACGGGGCTCATTTTTATATTGCTTCAGTTTATAATCGTAACAGATCGAAAAATTCAGATTCATTTTTCAATAAATTATTCCACAAACAACAAACAACATAATTATTACATTCAAACAAACTACTTGTAGTAGATGAAGTACATTATTCAAAAGTTTACATTAACTTTGAATAATAACACGGGAGAAACGGATGCTCTCTTTTCCCCTCTCCCTCCCTCTCTCTCTGACAGCCCGTCAGTTTCTCATGCAGCTCCTGCAGCTCGCTAAACAGAGGGCGGGGCTTCAGGTGATTATTCAGAGCTGCGTGTCTCGGTCAGACTCAGCAGCTGATCTGATCTCTCTCGCGTGTCTGGTTATACTTCACTCGCGTTTATGTCCATATCGATCAGATCCAGCTCTCCTGATCGGCCTTTATATAGAGCACCGATCAAACTATTAAGAGTGAATATCGGCCGATAATGACCGGCGGCCGATCTATCGGAGCCTCCCTAATTATTACCAGACATTTTGACCGGCAGGTTTTGAATTTACCGGTTTTTAATACATTTTACCAGCTAAAAACCGGTAATTACCGGCTAACGGAAACCCTGACACACACACACTCGCGAGCTTCCCCCAGACCAGTAATACAAACGAAAATGTGTCTTCGGGTCAATGTGACTGATTTCGATAGAGCAAGTCACATTTGGTTTAGGCACGAAACATACTGCCAGTAGAAATACATTGCTTTCAAAATCGCTCTGTGTCGATCAATAGATTATATTTCCTGACTATAACACGAAATGCCGTGAGTGCTTCATCCTCTGAACACCACAGGATGGCGACTGTAACGTACATAACATAGGTACGCTCCTCTGAAATGATTGTCCCCTGCAATTATTATTAGCCCTCAATCGAGTTCGCTATTCAGTTCGCTAACGTTAGCTTAAACAAACGTAACATGCAACGTTAGCCTAATCTAAAATGCTCTACTCCGGCATACCTTTCATGTGGCTCGTCAGCGCAGACTCTCGCATCGTTATTTTTGCAAACTTTGCAGGAGGCTACTCGTGGGCTTGACCCTCGTCTTAGCCATGGCTTGTATTTGTCTTCTGCTAGCCAACGCTCGTTGACACTGCAACCTCCTGGCACACAGTCATCTATCACTCATCAGAATGCCCAGGTCACACGTAACACAAACACTTGCAGGTCGCGCGCATGTTTTATGTGGAAGCGAAGCAATTATTTTCTTTTAATCTAAAAAGCGAACTATTCAGTCAGACAGCAATTTATTGTAAAAGTAAAGCATTTACATTTTCAAGCACTTTATCTCAATTTCAAGCACCATTCCCAAAATGCAAGCACTTTCCCAACCTTGAAAACACCACGTCAAATTTCAAGCATTTTCAAGGATTTCAAGCACCCGTACGAACCCTGAATATACTTTAAATTATATTCAGCTAATGTTTTTTGCTCCAAATTGATGATCTATATTTTTTATAGGCTAACATTTACCTTTAATACATGTGAAACTTTTCATGTGGTTTGGACCAAGAGATCTGCACTTTCATAAGGAATGCAGCTAATAGAGCTGTTAACTTATAAGTATTGAACAAGTATTAATTTGTTTAATGCTAGTGAAGAAAATGTCATCAATAGTAACTATTTCAATAAAAAAAACTGCAGACATTTTTAGAACAAAACAGGTCTTGTGAAAAATAACAAGAACTAAAATCAAATGGAAATATGTGTGTCTTATCTGTCAAGGGTAATACAATATTGGTATGGATTTGGAGTCAATGGGCTTCAACATCAACGAAAGTGCCTCGATATATGCTGTATTGAACCAATAAACTAACACAAACCTAACTGTATCACTATAACTAGGGATGCTCCGATCGATCGGTCACCGATCGATATCGGCCGATACTCAGTCTCTACCGATCTGATCGGTGCTCTCTAAACATGCCGATCGCGAGAGCCGATCGCATGACGTAAATACATGACACTTTTCTCTGTGTGCGGCAAAACAAGCTCGCCAAAATGGCTTCACCTGTCTGGCATTATTTAAGGTGTCCGAAAAAGACAGTAAAATAGCGGTATGCAACGTGTGTGTGAAGCAGAAATCCTGCAGCTCCGCCCGCCGGACAGGTAAGCGCAGCGAAACACACACACAGGGAGAACCAGACCGCAGTTCATTTCCTCATATTCCAAACGAGAAATTACGGTAGCAATTCACCCGGTTCTTTACGACCAGAACTATTAACGGGATACAAACCGGAGGAACCAGGCATGGAGGGAAGTGGCAGAGACAGTGGGTGAAACTGGTAAGTTTTCGCCTGTTTGGGGAGTTTATATATATATATATTGCTCGCATAAAATCCCCGGGGTTTTTTGCTTTGTATGTCGGGGGCGGGAGATTCATGTGATTGGTTGTTGGTCGCATTGCTCGCAAAAAATCCCCAAGCTTTCAGACGCGCCCAGCTCCAAGATTTTTGAAAAGCTGTCGTGTGGACGTACCGTAAGAGTTAGACCTAACACACTTAGCTATTTATCTACCTCTGGAACAAGCTAAACTAGTTATTATAAATATATTTATTCTTCATTGTTGGGTCACACATTACTGGATCAGGAGCTGCATGAGATACTGACAGGCTGTCAGGAGAGGGAGAGAGGGGGGGAGAGAGAGAGGGAGGGAAAAGAGAGCGCTTCCGCTAATTTCTCCCCGTGTTATTATCAAAGTGAATGTAAACTTGAATAATGTACATCATTTGAATGTAATAATTAAGTTGATTGTTGTTTGTGGAAGCTCCAGTGAATGAGCCCCATTAACTGAGTTTTAAACATCATTTAAATGGAAGATTTAAAGTGATGTTTAAATCTTCCATTTAGGCCCCGCCCACCTCGATCGGATCGGCGATCGGTATCGGCCGATACTGATTCTGGCGATCGGTGATCGGCCCCGAAATTGGCGATCGGAGCATCCCTAACTATAACATGATGATGATGGTGATAAGAATGCAATCTAAGGTTCCGCTGTTATTATAATAAAATAACAGAGCATTAAAACAAACCATCATGCTCTTACTTTGAAATCATGCGGAAATGTCGTCATCAGCGGGCCATCACGTGGTTTCGAAAATAACCGAGTGACACGAGTAGATTTTAGAAGAGACCGGCGGAAAATATGTCTCAAAATTCCGTGTGTGTAAAAAATGATCCACAAGCAGAAATGTGAGATCCACGAGCAGAGATTTGAGATATATATATATATATATGTAAAGTACCATGTGTACAAACAATATAACTGATTCTCTTCTGTTGAACATGTTGGATTGTGTATTGTCCGAGTCAGGGGCCTTTTTATTTTACTGTAACTTTGGAAGTTGTGTTACCAATGCTTACTGTTTATTTGATACCCATTTGGTAATGCAATTAATAAAAACAACAAGGTTTGGGTTCGTTCTGCAGATGACTGTGACGTTAATGTGTAAGCTCAATAATGAACTCCAGCTCAACCAACCATATTGTAATATCTAAGTAATCATCTTGAAATATGACATTAATAATTGTAATATAATATAACCTCACATCTTATTGTGAGGTTGATTTCACATACACTACTTCGACATTAGCTTGTCTACATACTTGAGCATAGCCAATTTAAATTAACCTTAGATGCATACAGTTCTACCTACATAATAAAATATCTCTAAGTTACAAGGATGTAACCTTATTTTATCAACCTCAAACAGAAGCCGTTTGTTCAACAGTATTATCCCACTTAACACTTGTCTATTTCGTTTTAACCTTTATACATACAGTCTATGATTTTAACTTGGAGGCTACGATTACAATCGTTAGCACCGATGTAGCTACCACTAGCTTACATGCTAACCCAAGCCTTACCATTCATACGTACTGATTAAATCATTAACACATAAATAAAGCACTAGAATTTCACTTACCGCAAAACCGCATTCATGCACCGTCTGTTTTAACCGCAGAGCGAGTCACAATAGTCTGATATATAAGCATGAAGAACAAACAACCACGGCCGGCTACAAGATGTGTTTCCTGGATGAGCTGAGCAGGCAGAGTCCATGTAGCTTCACGGAGCAGCTAGCAGAGAGACAAGAAGCTAACAGCGGCAGGCACTTGACAGAGCCGTCACTCAATGTGACCACGCCCTAATTTATGCACAGACTTTAAGACCTAATATAAATAAAAGGGTCACGTTAGAAACAATTCACTCCAGATCCATAATCATGAAGGTGGAATCTAACTATATCGATAATAAAAATGTATGGAGGACAGGGGTAGAAACATGTTTTTTTCTGCTGTAAAGTTGGGCATTTAAACATGGGGGTCTATGGAAATTGCTCCTTTCCTGCAGCCATCGCCTATCGGCCAATATCTGAACTGCAGTGTGTGGCACTTCCGTATTGGCTTCCCGGCTCTAACCCCACAGTTGTGCCGCTTGATCTATGCCCCTAACCAACCCTCCCGATTTTCGCGGGAAACTCCCGATTTCATTGCCCTCTCCAGCTACACCATTGTTTTCTGAGAGGGTGTTCAAGATAGTCACAAAAAACAGAACAAGAATAGACAACTCTACCCTCAGCTCAATCCTTTCCGTTTACAACTACAATAAGGAGCATGTTCATGTTAATCTTTATCAACGATTTAAGCATTGAGTCTGAATTCATGTGTGCACACAATACTGTTTAATAGCAAACACTGATAGCTGCAGAATATGGTTAATTGTTGTGACTAAAAGACCAGCTAATATCGGCCTTTGAAGAGATGCTAACGTTAGCATAATCGGAAAACTAGCTAAGTAACTAACTAGTGAGCTAGCATAAATCATGTTAATAACAAGCTAACTAAAAAGCCTTACCTTCAAAGGCGTTTCCAACTCTAGATCCCGGAATATAGCGCCCATAGCGTTTTAACGTCCATATATGACTGGTGCCCATTTCAGTAGGCCTATGTTTTGCGTATTTTCTGGCTAACTGAACAACAGCACCTTGACTGCCTGGCCCTGTTCACGAAATGGCGCGCCACGCACTCCGCGCAGCGTGAGGACACCGCCCACTTTAACCAAATGCGTAACACATGTTTTACTTTGACTGACCAAAGACTGTCTTTACTCTCTATTTGTATTATTTCAGGAATGACAACACTTGTATGCAGTGGTGTAAAGTAACTAAGTAGATTTACTCAAGTACTGTAGTTAAGTACAATGTTTTTGCTGGCGTTGTACTTCTACTCCCATTACAATTCAGAGGTAAATAGTGTGGTGTAGTGCCGAAATATAGGGAGTCAGAGGCGGTGCAATGAAGGTGCAAAAGGGAACTTTATTTTGAGAGCAAGTCCTAACATGTCTAACAGAAGTTACATTCATTTCTCACTTATTCTGACAATGTACTTAACACCCAAATAAAAGAACCCATAAAAAGAGTTTGTTAAATAATAGTGAAGTCACGTTGTAATAACAATAACCTCATCTCTCTCTCGTTTTATTTTTGAGCTTTGCTAAAAGCCACGGTGTCAAGTGTCCATCTTGGGCTGCCGTCCGGAGTTGTCCAATACTCACCATTGTTGTCCATCTCGCACATGCGCACTGCAGATCGGGCAGAGCTGCAGATCGGGTAGTGACAGTGACAATGGCAAAAAAAAATCCTCGCGTCCCGTGAAGGAAGCACCAAGGGGCCGAGGCGGGGTCGCAGGTGAGCCAGCCACGGACGATTCCAAATTCCCCGCATTTCGAGAAAAAAACTTGAGTTTATTTTTGCCGTGTTCGGGTCCGTCTCGAGACGTTGTCAGGGTCACCAGTGTAGTGCCGAGAGATAGGGAGTCAGAGGCGGTGCAATGAAGGTGCAAAAGGGAACTTTATTTGAGAGCAGCTAAGGTCATGTTGTCCGGTTGCAGTCCGGGAAGAAGAGAGAGGAAGTAGTGATGTGTCGGTCGCGAACGAGCCGGCTCAAAGAGCTGGCTCTTTTAAGTGAACGACGGGAGCCGGCATCGCGCCCGCGAACGAGCCGGTTTTTTTTTGTTTTGCGGAGGGATCTAGATCGGCATGAAGGCACATTATGCAATGTGCACATTATCCCGCTTATTACAATGGCCACATTCTCAACAAATTAACGACATGACTCCCAATATTAAATTTGAAATTCTTTTATGGATTTAGAAAATGATTTATTGATTTATTGAGTTGTATGTATTAAATTGACAATGCATCCGCTAAGAAAAATAGTCCGTTGTTACTGTTGAACTAACGTAGGCAACGGCAGGAACTGCTTCGATAGTGTTTTTGAGGAGCTTTTTGTTTACAGATTTGAAAACATCGTTGCTTGCTTTAAAAGTAGCACAATTCATTATGTCAAACTTTGGAAAAGTATCTAGATATCCCTGCCCTAATGCCAAAGTAACTGCACACTGAATATGTGTCGCCAGTTTGATGTCTATGTCTGACCCGCTGCGTAAAAAGGAGGGTTTCTGCCCCATTACTTCTCTTCTTACTTCAATAAGAATAAAACACGGAGGAGGGAGATCTCTTTTCTCTCCCCCTCTTCTGACAGCCCAGCAGCTGATCTCAGAGCACGCTGCCCTCTCCTGCAGGGGGGCGTGGGTCAGCTGCAGCTCACAGAAATCATATATACTTATATAGATATGGCCCTACAATATATTGTTCAAATATAGCATGATAGGTCCACTTTAAGTAATACAAGACAGAATGATGATGATGATCTCCGCGCTACAGCTGCTCCGTGCATGCATGCAGTGACATGTAATATCCAAAGATTAGAGACAGTTGGATGCTGCTGTTTTGAGCATTGCAATATATTTATTTTCACTATGTTATTTATTTATGATTATCCTTAGGCTCAGCAATATTTGATGTCAGCTGTTGCTGTCCTTTTTTCTATAGCTAATAGTTACTGAAATAGAGCCCTGCTGTTTTGTCAGGGCCTTTTCTTTAAATATAATTTTAAAATGTCGATACAGTAGCCCCTTTTTTTAAATAGTGTTTATAGGTGTTGCTAGCTGTTTTATGTAGCGTGGTTCGACAAGCAGTCAGTGCATTCATTGGGGTGGTATCAGAGAGTTACACGGGTCTGTAAATGCAATGAAAAACATTTGGCCACAGCAAATCATTTATATTAAACATGTCATTTTTACTTTTGAATACTTCAGTACAAAGGATGTATTAAATAATTTAAGTGATTTATATGTGTACACACATATAAATCATTAGTCAAAACAGGGCTACATTTGATTTAATTAAAAGGTATAATATGTGGTAAACTGAAGAGCCGTTTGGGAGCCGAAAGAGCCGGCTCTTCTTGGTGAGCCGAGCCAAATGATCCGGCTCACCAAGAAGAGCTGGAATTCCCATCACTAGAGAGAAGACAGGAGGGCACACAATATATAGCAAACACATACATGTCCGTGGTGGGAAACAATACCCCCAACTGTAGTTCCATGTACGAATTATGTAACCCAGTGTATTAATAGGTGGTCACCACAGTAGCCTACTTTTACTCCACTACACGAATTGAATATTGAATACCTATAGTTACTTAGCATATTTGGATTAATGATGTGAAATATAATAAATAACCTACCTTTACCAGCTTTGATAACACTAATGTCATCAATATTTATAATCAAAACATATGATTTAAATGATTCTGCAATGGGCCAATCTGCATAATGAATACTTTACTTTAAGTATATATTGATGCTAATACTTTTGTGTTTTTCTTGAGTACAAGATCTGGGTACTTTTTCCACCGTCATGCTTGGATGTTCTTTCACCACCATAGTCATATAATATATATATATATAGTATATATATATATACATATGTTAGTAAGTAAGAAGTACTCAGATCCTCTCCTTGAGTAGAAGTACAAATACTATGATCTTAAAAATACTCCAGCTACAAGTAGAAAGTCCTGATTCAAAATTAAGTTAAAGTGCAAAATTACTAGATTACATTAAAATGACCTATTTTAGAATAATATAAATTAAATAAGTATTAACTGCTAAATGTACTTCAAGTATCAGAAGTGAAAGTACTTGTCATTTGTCAATGTGGGACACAATTATATAAAGTAAATAGCTGAGTGTTATACAAAATTTAGTGGAGTAATGAGTAACATTTTTGCCACTGAAATGTAGCAGAGTAAAAGTATAAAAGTAGCTTTAAATGAAATGAAGTACAAATATGTCAAAAAAGTACATAGGCCTATGCTATGCTTAGATCCACATGTATTGCTTTGTGACTCCAAAGTTGGCCAACGGGGAAAGTGTCCATGAAAACATATGATTACATATAAAAAAGAAGCACATAAAGATTTTATGTACAAACAAATCTTATTTGGGATTGATACTCTGTAGCTTTTCTACTTTTCCCGTAGACTTATATTTGTATTATGACCAAGGACTAAGTGAGTGGTACATTTGCTCTACTGTTCACAAGGTGACACGGTTTATAAAATTGCCTCACATCAGTTTTGTTGTCGAACATTGCTATATATATTCTTGTGTTTGTTATGTTCAAGCTATTTTTTGGCTTTCTCTGCTTTATTGGATAGTGATATCTTGGAGAGAGAAAAGGATGACAAGCAGCAAATGGCCCAGGCTGGACTGGACAAACAGCCTTGATACAATGGCAATATACGTAGAAGGTGAGATACGAGGATTCCTATCTGTCCTTATGATTCAGGTATATATATCCTACAATTCGTATTGTTGTAATTGGACTGATTCTATGTCAAAACATTCCGTAATGGTGTTGTTCCTGCTAATTAAAGAGCACCTTGTTATACTGTTTGATAAAGATTATTATTATATCGGCAATAAAGTTTCAGCAGTTTAAATCAGCTCAATTAGATGTCTACCTTGTCTGGCTCACAAATAGTTTGCTTGTAAACATCCAGGCTGATCCCCACTCTGTAATTTATTTTTCTTTCAATGTCCAGCTGCTAATATGACTAACAAGAGACTCAGCACAGGTAAAGGCCCTGACACACCAAGCAGTCACCAGAGGACTCGCCGACACCGACGTCGGCTGTTGCGTCTCGGTGTTCTCCTGCGTCTTGGCCATGTGTCGCACGGGAACACACCGCAAAGACTTCAGTGCGTGAGTGGCAAATAACTCTCCTTACCAGCAGGCGGCGGTAGTGTGTATTCGTCATTAAAAATAGGCAACAACCGGAAGACAGAAAAGAAGAACAGACTGCGTGATATAAACAACAACAGACTGCGTGATATAAACAACAACAAATAGCGTGTGCAAACTGCAGCCTGGTTATGATCCACTGCTGTCTGCCCGCCTTTGGTGCTCCACAACTACCCGAAGGAGCAAGTCTCCTGTACCGGGTGTACTGGGTTCGCAGAGAATCCCACTTCTTCTTCCTCAGCTCTTTCTCTGAAGCACACAAATAAACGATGTAAGCATTGGTGGCTAGTTAGCATGTCCAATTCATATCTATATGCAGTGCCAAACTGCACAGCTAGCAACAAGATAACAACAAAACACAAGGTTGAAATAACAAATTACATTTCACGTTAACGTCACTGTACGCTGGCAAACAATAAAAAGCCAACAATATCTGCTAAAGAGCTCAATTGATGAAAAAGATAATCTTACCCGAGAAACCAAGTTGCGTTTCAATCTCTCGCCAGAGTCCGGTTTTCACTACTCGGTTCGAGTACCTTTTCTCTGTGATGTCGTACAGAGCTGGCCTCTCCTGGATCAATGTGATGAGCAGGTCTACGTTTGCGTCATTCCAGATCGCCATGATGAGATGAAAATGAATATCAGTCTGTGTGTGCCTTCTTAAATCGTTTGTTTACGTCCCTCACTTCCGTTTCGCTTCTCATGCACTGATTCGCTAGCTGAACAGCCAATCAGAGTGATTGTTTGGTCCGACTGCCAGACCCGATGCATGGCCGATTCAACATGTTGAATCGGCCATGCATCGGGTCTGGCAGTCCAAATAAGGCGTGTCACGGTCGACGGTGCGGGACACACCAAATTGAGTTTGGGCAACAGGACACGCTTCGTCTCCCGACTTACGAAAACAGCCGAAATCGGCCTGGTGTGTCAGGGCCTTAAGGCGTGTCACGGTCGACGGTGCGGGACACAACCAAATTGAGTTTGGGCGACAGGACACGCTTCGTCTCCCGACTTACGAAAACAGCCGAAATCGGCCTGATGTGTCAGGGGCCTTAAGACATGGACAGAAGATGGTAAGAAAAGGGATGATGGCTCTCAAAGAATTTCAAAACAATCTGAGCAAAGTAAAGTTGTGATCACACATACTGGCCTTGATAATCCCTGATATTAAATATGATGATATGTTTCTTTTCAAAAGTGCTTTGTATAATACAGAAGTTGGGTATTTTAATTGTTTTAAGAATCTTATAGATAGTATGGCGTTAAAGGCCCTGTCACACTGTCCCGAAATTGACACCCGATGGACACACGATAAAGGAAATGTTCAAATTCGGCTGTGATCGTAGCAACATCGGGCCATTCGTGAGGGCATCTAAGCCATCGTATGACCGTCGGTGGAGTTTCTCAGGCTCCGGCAGCAACTTTGTGAGCGGCAACTTCGTAAGGCACTCGTGAGGGCATCTTGTCAAATCGTGTCATCTTCGTGTTATCATCGGTGCATTCACCCTCACTCTGATCGGGGCGAATGCCCGATGGCACCGATGATAACACGATGCCCTCACGATGGCCTTACGAAGGGCACAATTGACACACGAATTCAACACGAAAATGAACCTTCGCAAGGTCCTTCGGCTATTTTTTGGCATGCCAAAGATTTGCCACTGCTCACGAAGTTGCTGCCGGAGCCTGAGAAACTCCACCGGCGGTCAGACAAAGGCTTAAGATGCCCTCACGAATGGCCCGATGTTGCTACGATCACAGCCGAATTTGAACATTTCCTTTATCGTGTGTCCATCGGGTTGTTTTATTGCACAACAAAATCATGTAAATATATTATGTAAATAACCCAATTTGTGTTCTGTGAAACTAAAAAGGATATAATATATTATTTTGAAGGACAGTTGACAGGAAGTTGTTGTTGTTATGGAAACAACATTACGGAGAAAACTTAATATCTTCTACATATAACGACGGATAAAGTAAAGAACAAAGTCTGAAGATATCAGTACAGTATCATAGTACTGTAACATAATTGTTTTTGGTACTTTCATTGCAGTTGTACTTCTTAAATGTAATGTAAATGTTGCCTTCGTGTGTGGTTCGGGGCCATCATCGTGCGAAATTCACAATTCCATATTCGTGTGTCCATCGGGTGTCAATTTCGGGACAGTGTGACAGGGCCTTAATGAAACGTCATGTCCACCTTCCTTCTTGAACACATAACACATATTTTGAACATCCTTAGGATCCTCAGGTAAAGACAGATTCTCTCTGTCTGTACCTGTGTATTCTCATGTTCTGAATAACCCAGCTTCCCCCAAATTTCTTTTGGTGTCTATCTACGCTGGGATCCTGAGTCGTGGCTGAACCTGAGTGAGTCTTGATCTGAGTCCTGGAATTCGAGTCGTGGCTGAACCTGTCACTGTGGTCCTGTCTGACTCTCATACTTCTCTGATGGCTCCCACAGGATTGTTGACATCCTCATGGATTTGGTCTATGTTATAAATGTATTATCTCTTCGATTTACACACAGCATCTATTGCACGTCTGTCCGTCCTGGGAGAGGGATCCCTCCTCTTGCTCTCCCGGAGGTTTCTCCCATGTTCCCCTTTAAACTGTGGGGTTTTTCTCTGGAAGTTTTTCCTTGTACGATGTGAGGGTCTAAGGACAGAGGGTGTCGTATTGTGATATTCTGTGCAAACTGTGAAGTCCACTGAGACAAATGTAACATTTGTGATATTGGGCTATATAAATAAACATGAATTCATATACCTTTTATAATAATTGTATATATTATCATGTTTTACCAGAGACTCATCTTTCTAATTTAAATGTTGTGCTACAATATATGTAATTTTTTGCAAGGCAAATGATGGCCATTACAATTAATTTATGTTTATATTACACAATTGGGGTCAAATATGGCGTTATTTAAGTCGTACTTTCAGGGAAATCAAACAAACTAAATATTTGCAGGATTTATCATTGAATAGTTTTTGTGTTTGTTGAGAAGAACAATATTTAAAAATGTCTGAATATATTACTTTATATATTTTGTTGTTAAATGTTAAATAAATGTAAAAGATACTCAATGGGTTAATAAAATAACAGTTAAATGTATACATGTAGCTTTGATATACATTGCCATTTGAAAAGGGACTTGGCAGTTCTGTATGGGAGCCAGTCGATAAAACACCGTTTGCCAAATTGAGCCTATTCCAGCTCCAACTGTATTTGTGTGCGCAATTTACGCAGTGAATCAGACTGAAAATAGTGCTGGGAAAACGGGCTACTTCCAAGTGAAGTCCACAGCATGGCTGAACAATGGCTTTGCACTGCATACAGCCTTAACTTAAGAGAGCGTTTTAAAGAATGGGAAGAGCATTCCCCTTTAAACAAGGTGGGCTGAGCTTATTTGCAGTTCTCGCTCCTATGGCAACCCAATAGATCAGCATCATGAATATTCACAATTTGCCAAAAACGCACCATGACTATGGATCAGTGATGTCAGCGGTCCCTGGAATGCTCTACTGTATTTTGCATGATTGTGTCACGTTGTTTGATGTCAGCTGGAGAAAGACGTCTGGTGAAAAGAGCATCCTTCGTCGTGCATGACCTTTCCCTCGTCTCCATATCACCGTCCGTCTGCACGTCCCTCACATGTCACGCTAAGGTGACTTTCAAGCAGTTTTTTTCACTTTTGCGCACAATGTCGGAACGGCACAAAGATCGGGGACGCAGTGGCCAAGCGGACCGCCCAGGTTGTGCGTGAGGACATATGCAAACTGTCTGGTAGTCTTATTATGATAAAGTGTGTCCCTCATCTGTTTCAGTAGAGCCACGGCGGTCCATGTCATGTGTAGCAGGCTTTCAGGGATACAGATTAGCTCCAGACTGATCGCTCTCACAAACAGATAGGGAGCGCGGAGGCTGGTGGAAACAACCGTTACTATACAGCCTAACAACCTGGATTTATTTCATTTTCTCCACTTAGTCTCAATGTCATAATGGAAAGGCTGCACTCCTCCATGCGTAAAAGGCTCTATAGTTTGCCACAGCACATTGGACAAAAAGCATCTATAATGGGGGAAGGAGAAGACGCAGACAAGGACACCCGGAGGAAGAGTCTCAGGATGAAGCCTCTGCTGTCACCGTCGCCGACCTCTGGAGGAAGCTGCAAAGGCATCGGGGAGACCAAAAGTGGGGAGACTGTGATCATGGAGACGGACATAGGGAGACCGATGAAGACCAGCTCAAATGGAGATTGTCGGAGATTTCGAGGCAGCCTCTCTTCCATCACAAGTCGCCATGTGCACGACTCTGACTCGGCGGAGGAGAGGCGCCTCATCACCGAGGGGGATGTCACCCCGAGCGAGGAGAGCCCCCCCGGAGCCATCGGTGATGGGCCGCCGGATCAAGGCGCGCAAGGGGCCAGCGGTGGCGGCGGCGGTGGCGGTGGTGGTACGCAAAAAGATCCACCAGAACAGCAGTCAGGGTTTATAAAGTTGGATGGCATTGATCAAATTCTGCCGGACGACGAGAGATTATTTCAAGCAGGGTTCATGCACAGACAGTTAGGGGCAATGCTTCAACCAGGGGTCAACAAGTTCTCCCTGAGGATGTTTGGAAGTGAGAAGGCGGTGGAACGAGAACAAGAGCGGGTTAAATCCGCCGGATTTTGGATAATTCACCCATACAGTGATTTCAGGTAAAGCACATACACTCCCCAAACAACACAAGGTTTAAATTGAAGCATCACGTTAAAATCATTGTCTTTCCCACTCAAAGTATTTTTCTCACAGTGTATATCTTTTATAAAGGCAGAGCAGCCTATTCATTGTTTTATTCAGTTTCATGGCACTTTCATTACTTATTTACCCCATTTATTTTAAAAATAATTATGACATTTGACCAAAGCCATATTTATAATTCATTTGCTTTACTGCTATTTAAATATACTTACAATTTAATAAGGATATTCATAAGCAGTAAACAAATTACATTAGCTTCAGGATATGGTCCTATTATTCAGGAGGCCTGTATACAATGTGTTTTGTTAAAGAACAACACACAGAAAACACAACCTTTTCTTATTAGGCCAATTTACCTATCTGGGCAGATGCTATCCAAATGGATGCATAATTGAAGCCCGTTAGTGGTTTCTTATTTATTTGAGGAAGCTTGTGCACAGGAAACATTATTCATCATTGATTAGAGTTATCTAGGCCTCCACTTAACATTGTTTTCTCAGGCTTACATTGATTTTATTATTCTTCTTATGCATTGTATTATAATATATATCCGTTTAGCCTTAATTATGAGTAATTGTTAAAGTTTTGAGCAGTTTTGGAAAGAACAACACATTGTAAGTCTGCATTGTTGCCAACTGAAAGTCCACATGTCCTCTTTTGTTGGCATACAGATTCCTCTCTGTATGTGCCCTTGAGTTTGTTATTGGCCATATGCATTTGATTTATGGCCACATGCATGTCTCTTAACAGCGAAGCCCTTGTTTTGGCTTTAAAAATTATTACGATATGCTTTTAAACAATTGGTGAAATTCATTTTGTTTGATTAAAGTGTTCTCAGAAGATTAATTTCTAAGAAGTTCTAGTGAGCTGTTTGTGCACACCTTGCCAAACAGTAGCTTGAACTACAAAGTTTACATATACTATTACACAAGTGAGTATATAATCTTATTAGATGGGCTTCATATAATATGATTTGAATAAAAAGTGCTCACTCAATTTGCTTCCTTTAATCTATCGAATTAAATTAGGTTTGAAAAAATACATCTATTTTGTATTGTATAGGTAATGGAGCTTCTCTTTTGTTTTAATTGAACTAATTTGCTCTGGTTTAATAATTCAGGTGAAACACTTTCATTTCAAGCTGTGTCAGCCTTCGCATTTAGTTCATGCACCTCTCATATAAATCATGTTGAGACATCTGTGTTGCTGTAAAATGATATTGAGCAAGACTGTCACCGTTCCACTTACTGTACTGTATTTCTCCTTGTCTGTGACATTGAATGTTGTCTAGTCTGGTGTTTGATTGGCTAGGATGGCGTAATGGCATGTTATATAGAAACTAAATTTACACCACAGTGTGAATAACAAGATATCTGACTTTGAGAGAAATGTGAGTTTTGAGTGTGAGTTGCTTACACACTCGGCGTCAGAGAAAAAACCCAAGACTTCTAGAGTAAAAAAGAGACACATTTTTCTGCCAGTTCAGTAAAGAAAGACCTGCAGTGGCTAACATATCTTGATGTGTTATTAAGAATGTTATATTAATGGCTGATTCCTCCGTCAGATGTCATGATGTAGTTTTTCTTGTGCATTTGAGAAGAAAATGCTATTTTGGATCAAATGTAAGCCACCTTAGATCTTTGATTTAGATGGACCTCAGAATTTGACCCAGGTGGCCAACACTGTTGTTAAAGTGTTGCCAGTGGTGATTGTGATTTTGCATTTCGAAATCTAGTGTCTGCTTACGCCAAACCGTTAAACAAGGGGTTTCTTAAGCATACTGTTCTCTGGGAACTATTTACAGATTTACTATCACACTACACTGATTAAGACAGGTCATCATCAGGAAGTGAGACATGGATAAGACAGTTTGCCATTTGTGTTGTGCTCCTCCCAGCTGGTTGTGTTTCCACTGACCCCCTCTGCTCTCTTACTCACTGTGTTAAATGTCATGAGGAAGGGTGATTTGGGGCTTGGGGAGACTGTCCTGAAACTGAAAGGTCAGAGATTTGGCACCAGTCATCAGTTTTGAGCAAGATGCTGAAACAGAGGTGATATATACTAGTGAAATAGATGGACATGTGACTCTCTCTCTCTCTCTGTGAGAGTGTCCAAAATAAATAGATAAATGAAAATGCAATGAGACAGAAGTGCTCTAAAAAATGAGGTTAGCCACCCACTTGTTCGGGGTCTGAGGGTAGATACTATATCTTACCATAATTAAACATTGTGCTGGTCTGAGATCAGTTTGCGTGTTCTTCAATCACTCAGAGCTATGATTACATAATCACTCAACACTACAATTAAAACCACAGATGTGTCAATCAGCAGAGAAAAAGCTTTGTGCTTCGGCTAATTGTGTATGGAATGATGATTCTTTATCTGTGACTCACTTTGAATCACCAATGGATTAAAGGTTAATAAGTGAAGGAACATCAACCATTTCATCAGTATTGGTCTGCTTCAAATTATATTTGAAGCCCATTTACTCAGAAAAGAAGTACACCATGTCATTGAGTTAAGACGGCGTGTTGAGATGAGTTAGTGTTTTATTTTTAATGAACTCAGGAGAAACATGATAGTTGGATGCCTAATTCCGCCAATATCAGGATCAGAGACAGGACAAGATGGCTATAATTAAAGTACATGGAGATGAGGGGGACCTTTTAATGGGTCCGGAGAAGAGAAGGGTCTCTGTGACTAAAAGTTTTTTTTCCCATGTCTGCATCAAAGCCTGGCCCTATAATCTCAAATTAGAGTGTCACAAGGAATCACATAGTCATCACTGCATCCGAATTGAGCAAAATCTCCTCTTGTCAAGTGTTGTATAACGCTAAGAAGCAAGGGAGGAGCAATATCTTGCAAGGGAAAAAGATGGATTAAAAATGGCATCATAATCCAATCTACAGCCTCATTTCCAGATCCAAAACTGAACAGCCTTCTTCCACTCTGAACAAGCGACTCCCAGTGTGCAGATGTGGTCACCAGAGAGTGACATCCTCAACTGGAAAAAAAGAGACAAGTAGTCCAACAGAATCAATTATAAGAAGTATTTTAAATTAGAAAGATTGTGTAGCCCTTGAGCACATGCTGACCATAACATATCTATGGGGGTTTGAAAGGACTGTTACTGCCTCTCATCCTGCTCCTCTCTGGATGCTTCTTTTGTATATCTGCTTTGCTACCTACTTGTCACCGTCTTGAAAATGTGACTTTGTTGTTTGAATGCTGTGGTATCTTACTATGCGGAGACCTTTTGATGTTGCATGCTCTTGGTCGTAAATAGAGATTGAGATTAAAGTCATACAATGCTTATTGCCCCTTTTGAAGATAATAGAATATTCCAGTGCTTCATTGACAAAATGATACCTTTCTCACACAATGGGTCCTCTTTCTGTGCGTGATGAAAACCAGGTGATCATTTATTTTCCTAACTGTTTGCATAGGGCCCTTTTGAGTGGATTCTATCAATGCAGCAGCATTGTGCAGAGTTCTAGACAGATGATGCGGCGCAATATCACAACGCAGCCCTCTGCTCGTCAAGAGCCTTTTAATTATCTTGTGATTCAGAGCCCAGAGGACACATCTGTTTGAAGTCTTCCATATTTTCCTGGAGAGATGGAAAACAAGGTGTCGCACATGAGAACTTTTGCACTTATGGATCTAATAATCCCCCATCTTTCCCCTTTGGAACCACATTGTCAACACTATCAAAGAGAGGGGGGGGGGGTCAACTGTCCTGCAGTTTCTGTCAATCAGTTCAATCCCTTTGCAACCGTCGGGCGAATCCCTCCATCCCCTCTCCACTTTTTCAACAGACTTTTATTACTCCAGTTCTGTTTCCCAGAAGACACTTACCTAGACAGTGGCAAAAATAGATCCTCAGAAAAGACAAGTTACAACTTCAGTTATTTTTTGCAGACAATATACCAAAGAAAAGTAGAGCAGATGTAGTCACTGATGTGCACATTAAGGCTGTGATATCGTTAAAGGAAAGTACACTTTAGGCAAATTGATGACTACATGAATTTGTGCAATGTGTTTCTGAAAGTGTTTGGTGCCTATTGAAATCATTTACCAGTCTCTTACTTCCTTGCTACAGTTACTCATAGCCCTTTTAATGTCCTCCATTAGTGCAAATAGAAAAACTAAATATGACAGCTTCTCATAGTGTTGACACGTTTGCACGTATGTATGTCTCCAAAGACTTAAATGAAAAGCCCAGTGTACTTGAAAAGAACAACTAGAAGCCAATCTGGATATATATATATACTGCATACATTGTGCCATTGTATCCTTACTGCTTACTATTAAGCATTAGCAGCCATTACCATTTGTAGGCTTTGTGTTGAGTTTACAGTACTCTTACTGTACCAGAGTAAGGGCGTGTCTGGCTGTGTCTATTATGTTTGTAGCGTATTGGATCAGATTAAATAACAGCATTCTCTATTTCAGTCAGGATGATACGGTTGATTTGAGAGTATGTTTTCCTATTGATTTGTTTGGGTCTCGTGGGACCTCCAGGTTGCGTTCAGTGGATTTATTGAAAAATGAGATGGAGAAACATGCACGGCTACAATGAACGGTGATACCCGTTTTGCGGCGGTGAAAGAAGTAATGGTCTGGGTGAGAGTTGTACAAAGGTCAAGGTGAGGTTGTGGCGATGCAGCCAGCAGAGGAATGTAAAGCCTGGATATTTAGAGCCTTTCTAAACCGTTTTGACAGGCTTTCAGTGAAGATAGACCTCATGATGAAATTGCAAGATTAAAAACGTTTAACGTACGGAAGCATGAAGTGAGTTCAGACTGCCCTTATTGAGTATTGCTGTGTCTCAGTTTGGATACTGCCCTTAGTACACTGCATGTTCACTGTGAACACTTATGCATTGTTTGCATTTTGACTGTTTAAAACAACAAGTCCTCCAACTCATACGACCAAATGGGCCGATTGTTCAGGC